TGTGTGTCTGCACGTGTGTGTATGTGTGTGTGTCTGCACATGTGTGCATGTGTGTGTGTCTGCACGTGTGTGTATGTGTGTGTGTGTGCACATGTGTGTATGTGTGTGTGTCTGCACGTGTGTGTATGTGTGTGTGTCTGCACGTGTGCCTCGCTGCCTCGCACTCTGGAGCCTTCCACACTGAATGTACCGCGGGTGTGGGGCCCGTGCCAGCCCAGCGCCCTGCGGCTGAGCAGCCGGAGGGACAGGGCCCCATTCCAACGTCCACCTTCCCATCCAGCCCATCCTGTGCAATAAACGTCAGCAGCTGACAGAGCTACGCACGACTCCGGCTCTGCTTCTTCGCCACCGTCCCTCCCTGCCGCGGCCCCGGCTGCTCCCGCTCCTCGTCCCTGGCCCAGGGAGCCTGAGCGCTGGGCACAGTCCCAGCGTGGGCTGTGGGATGCAGCTTTGTCCTCTGAAGAGCTGACTCCCTGCCAGAAAAGCGACAAGGTGAAAAGCCTCCTCCCAGCAGCTTTCCCCTTGCTCCAGCAGCAGCCAGGAAGAAGCTGGGAGCAGGCTGGGACAGGAGACTGTGGGTACAGGGTGCAGCCAAGAACTGGACCAAACACACCTGCAGCTGCAAGATGCCAACCATCTCCAACACCACCCCAGTGGAGAGGAGGCCTGGGAGGTCACAGTCTGGGGAGATGGGAGGCTCCTGGCTGGAAAGGCTGCAGTTGGACCCCATGAAAGCCCCACTCCCTCTGCAGCTACACTGGCAGAGTTCTGTGTTTCTGCTACAAAAGCATTATCAGAATGTGATGCTCCTGTGAGCAACTGAAGCCCAACTAGTCAGCAGAACAGGACCAGGCTGGGGAGGCAGCAGTCCCATCTCCCCACATCCCCTGGAAGGTGAGGCGAGAGCCCAGGCACCCTGCAGCCTCCAGGTAAAGATGCCAAGGAGCACACAGGTCCCATCTTGTATTTCAAAAACCATTTTATTTACAGTACTGTACATGTTGACCCCTGAATTAGTGGTTTTCCCTGTTTGAGCCCCAGTGAGCAGCAGCAAAACCCCGCCCTGGAAACGGGAGTCAGGAGCTGCAGAGGCTGTGCTACAGAGTGGGGACAGTGCCCAGAGCTGGGGCAGAGCATGGAGCAGCACCCACCCCATAGCCAAGAGCAGGGCCAGGGCTCCTGCTGTGTCCAGAGTGGCTGCCTGTCCCTCCAGGTCTGAGCTCCACTGGTGGAAAGGAACAGCACCCCAGGACAGGCAACAGCACAGCAAAGGCTGGGGCTCACAGTGAAGGTGAAGTTTGAGGGGAGCCAGCCCTGTCTACTGTTGCCCCCTTTGGCCCCACCCCAGCTCAGGGCTGGGTGCCCTCTCCAGGTGCTGGGACACAGGTAGTGATGGCAAGCAGTGCAGAGCCTGGCCCCCACTGGCTGCTCCTGCAGAGTCCCAGAGTGCCCCAGCACCTCGCTGTGGGGCAGGTCTCTTGCTGGGCTGGCAGCTGCACCCCCTTCCCCGTGAGATGGGGGACAGGCCTGGCACCCACTGCAGCCAGAGAGGTCCAGAGGTAGCTCAGGGCTCTGCAGGCAGCCATGGCTCAGCTGAAGAAATAGGTGGAATCCATCACTTGCTTGAGGTTGAATTCACCTGGGGGGAGTGAGGAAGAGGAGAGGTCAGAAAGCAGGGTAGGGATGGACAAGGGGGAGAGAAGCAGCCTCAGGGTACGAAGGATCCCAGCCCCTGGACCGTGCTACCCATGGAGCACTCTGCACAGAGGTCAGGCAGAGCCAGATGGCCTGGCAGACACAGGGCTGAGGGATTAGAAGGAGTTAAACTAATTGCCTTAATCCCATTGCATGTATATCATCTAGATCTTGGCAATTACTATGCTGAGTCCCTCAGTCCCATCTCCCAGCAAATGCTCATGGTTGGAAACAGATGGGAGCAGAACAAGAGCGGGATGGGATGAGCTCGGTCAGCCCGGGGGAAATTCCCGGGGGATCAGTGGGAGGGATGCTTACAGGGATGATACAGGGGAACGTGTCCAGGCTCTGTCCCATGGCTCTGCAGTCCAGCACAGGAGGGAACACCTGATCCTAGGGGACAGCTCTGGCTTTCTGTCTTTTGGGGGCCACTCCATCTCATTTCCCTTGTCTCCAAACCACTCCTGAGCTCTGCAGTTCCTATCCCATGCTCCTACCTGTCCTGGGGACATTTGACAGCTGCTCCATTAGTTTCTTCTGCCAAGCGGCTATGGTCTCTGTGTTGGGGCTGGATGAACCAGAAGAAAGCAAATCAACACGGGAGCTCTGGGAGAAGGCACACCCTCCTCTGCCCCCCAGTGCAGCCCATGACAACAGGATTCAGCTCTTCCAAAACAGACCGTGCACCCTCGAGTGGGAGCAGGAGCCCAGCCCTGACCACAGCAGCCCAGGGCAGGCCCTAAGGTTGCCAAACCCTCCCTCAGTTCTGCAGCAAGAGGGTGCAGAGCCCTTATTTTTCACACTGAGGTTGAAGGCGATTTGGGTGTCAGGCAAGAAGGAAGGATAGGTTCTACCCAGAGCAACCCCCAGGCAGGTGACAGAACCTGTCAGCACCTGGACACGATCTCTGGGAGAGGGAACTGGTGCAGGCAGGAAGGAGCATGGTGGGGGAAACTAACAGGCCAGGAATACCTGCAGTATTTCTCCAGCATAAACTCAGACAGATCCTGCAAGATCTTCTCGCTGTGCAGAGCCACAAACTGCTGCCGACAGATCTGACCCAGGGAGACAGGGTGAGGTGCAGGTTAGGAGGCATTTTCCCTCCTTCCCCCCAGTGGTAGGTTAGAGTTGAGGGGCAGGGAAAGCAGCAGGAGCGGGAAGGAGGTGCTGCCAGACAAGGGTGCAGGAGTCAGCCTGGGGAGGTGGGAAGCAGAGGCCAACTCCCACAGGCACAACAGCACTCACAGCACTGCAGAGGGAAGGGCCCAGGACAGGGCAAGGGCACCAGCTCTGCCAGGGCTCTGTTCAGTGCCCATTTACACACAGATTCTGCCACACACTCCCTGCAGGATGGGCGGGGATGAGGCACCAGCAAATCAGCTGTGACTGCCAGCAAGCAGATCCAGCCCAGAGCACAGATCAGCCAGATCTTGCTCACAAGGGACCCCAGAGGACACTTACCTGGTTCATGATGTCCACGGTGAGTGCGTGAGTCCAGTAGCAATCGTGGACTGAGACGAAGGTCAGACCCTGCCTGGGAGGGGGCAAAGGTGCCATGAAGTAGTGCTGAGAGCCCCTCTGTGTGATGACCCCCACCCCACGTAGACCTTCTGGCTGGGACAGGAGCACAGGCCACATAAGGAGGGGGACTCCCTGCATGGCCCCTGCAGGTCTTCAGAGATCCCAGGATGTCGCTGTGCCACTGTCTCCTCTCACCCCTTCTCTGCCAGGAACCCCAAACTCCCACCCACCAGGGAATCCCTGGTCCCACATGGCACCTTGCCCAGCGACACCCTCCCAGAAGAGTCCTGAGCCAGGGAAGAGCCAGCTGAGAGCCCAGTTGCCCACTCCTACCTGAAGCAGTGCAGAGCTGTGAGCATCATGTGTGTGGAGTCCAGGGAGTGGATGAAGTTGGGGGGGAAGGCGTTCTTCTGCTTCACAGTATCAGGCTTCCTGTGGCACAGTGGGACACGGAGGAGCTGGGGCACTTCAGAGCCAAAGATGAGAGTGCCAGCACAGAGGCAGTGCCACCTCAGCCCAGGGTTGAGGGGGTTGCCCTGGAGGGCTCCAGGGCCCTGCTCCTCTGTCCAGCTCTCTGCAGCTCAGGGGGATAACAGGAGCTCTGGCACTCCTTGACAGCTTCCCTGATGGGAAGGCCTTGTCCCCAGAGCACAGGCTGGGGTCACCAGGGGCACAGTATACTTTTGTACTTACTGGCTGCTACTGGGGGTTCTCACGCTCAAGTTCTGCATGCCACAATTCAGCTGTGAGTGGAGAGAGGGGACCAGTCACTACCCTGCACTGCCCCACTCTTCTGGAGAGGACTGTGCCTTTTCAGGGTGTCCCAGCACTGTGGCAGCTGCCACTCCTCAGTGACACCTTGCCCAGCTCCCCTCCTGAGGATACTGGCAGGCATCCTGCACCCCTTCCCCGTGACAGCCCTCGCAGGGTGAATCAGCCTGAGAGGGGCTGCTGGAGGTGAGCAGCACAGGGATGAGACGGGCCGGGGGACGTGAGTCAGCGCAGCGTGGGAGGTGACAGCAGTGAGACTGAGTCACACGAGCCCCGAGGAGGCTCCTTGGAGCGGGGAACGGCCCGTGCCCCAGCTGCCTGAGTGGGACAGAGCAGAAGAGCTTCCTCACCAGCCCACCCACACCCTCCAGGCTCTGCAGGGAGCGATGAGGCTGGAGGATGTTCCTGCACACACGGATCTTACCTGCTCTGCAGGCTCACCCACCGGTGGTGCCAACCTGCCAGGCTCCATCCCAGCTGTCCCTTCCCTGCTCCCACCATGGCACAGGGAGGGGTGGATGAATCTTCACACCAAACACTCACTCACCACAGTGGACTTGAAGCGATAGTAGGGCTGCACGATGGGGAGCCCCAGCGGTGTGACCCACTCCACTGTCCGCCCCGACTGGGAGATGAGCTTGGCACTCTCTGTCAGCCAGTGCTTCAGAAGAGGTGAAGAAGCAGCCAGAGTTAGTGTGGAGCTGGGAGACCCCACCCCCTCCTAGCATGGGCCACCCCGATTCCTACCACAGACTGGGACAGTCCAGTGCTTACTGGCAAGTTTAGCACAATCCCACACCTCTGGGTTGGGAGGAGGAGGATCCTCTCTGGGCCAGGACCCAGGAGAACCATCTCTCCCCCTGGTCTATGCATGAGTGGACCAGGGAAGAAGAAAAAGCAGAGGGAGATAAGATGCAAGAGGCTTTTCACCTGGATATCTCGAGTTGCTGAGAACATCTCCTTGATGCTGTTGAACACCTGCCTCACCAGGTAGTGAGACGCTTCCCACAAGTATTCCTGCACAGACCAGAGGCAGAGTGATGGGTCAGGCAAAGGGACAGCAAAAGACGCAGAGGAAAGCGCCAGGACCCAGGGAAGGGAGGCACACAGGCACGTTACCTCAGGGAAGTCATCGATCTCCTTGAGACGCTTCTCTATCTGCAGGCGGCCGCCGTAGCGCGTGACCCCGTACACCACCGTCATCACCGTCTGCTTCACCACCTTGCGGCTGATGAAGCCCTGCAGCACCTGGGCGATCTTCACCCCCCGCTCGGCGTCCTTCTTCCGAAACTCCTCCACCTGAGGAGAGTGCCCCAGGGGTCAGCCCCAGTGTGAGCCACGCTGGCTTGAGCCCCCTCCGTGGCTGGGGCCACGTGAGACCCTCCCAGCTGCCTGGCCTGAGCTCCCATCAGAATTCCTGCAGCCCATTTTCACCACCCTGCATAACAGAAATCACCTGCTGAGGGGATCAAGCACAGGTAACCGTGCCTGTAGAGCCTCCCCTGCTGCCTCTGCACTGTCCCTTGACAGGTTGGTGTTGCCAGCTGGGACAAGGACACGGCTCTAGGACTATGGGTCAGAACTCAGGTTCTCCTGCCTCTGCCCCCCAGTGATAACTGAGCAAGCCCTGCACCCTCGTGAGCTACTCCTGCTCTCTGGTGTGGTGCTGCCTGCAGAAAACCTGCTGAGACCCAGACGGGAGAACCAGGGTCCAATGCCAGCAGAGTGAGCCTGGCAGGTCTCAGCACTCTTCCAGCAGCTCATTTCACATCATGTCTTGCCAAGGACACCAAAGACTTCATAGCAGTGCCAAAGGCTGAATCTCTTCCCCATCCTTCCTACTCAGCTCAAAGGAAGAAAATCTCATAACTCATGGGCCATCCAAGACCAAGGGATGAGGAACACCCTCTTCCACCTCTCTGAATTACTTCTCCCAGGCTTCATTCAGAAGTGAGGACAGCAGAAGTTCCATGGGTTTTCTCACAGCCACCTCTATGAGGACAGATGTCCAGCCAGATCCCACTCAGGGATGGAGGACCAGCTCATGCCCCTCCAGCCCTCTGTACACTGGTCTTATTCCCACCTTTCTCCTCAGGAGCAGGAGTGACCCTGTGCACCAAGGGGAGGAGGCAGGTCCAAAAGGACCCCCCCCATGCCCCTGCTGTGCCTCACCTGCTGGGCCACCGCACTGTAGACATCCTGGGGGACACTGCAGGGCATCAGGTTGACAGACAAAGCACCGATGAGGTCCCGGCCGAGCGCTGCGTAGTGCTGCAGCCCGTTGCAGGAGCCATCCTGTGGGAAAAGCAGGGGAGAAACAAGGAGTTAGCACGTGGACAGAGCTCATCTGCTGAGGATGGAAAAGGGAAGGAAAAGTGCAGGAAGTTCTGGTGCTCCCCAGACCACACCGGCAGTAATGTTTCTCACAGGAGGTGTGCTGCTGTTCCTGCCCCCCTGGGCTCGGGCTCTCCCTGGTTGCAGGGGGGTGCAGCTGTCCCAGGACCACTCCTCAGGCAGGACCCCCTCCTCCCTGCACGCCCCTCCCTGCTCCCTGCAGTGCAGCATGTCCTGATGGCTCCATTAACTGAGCGCTGATGACTCAGGCGGAACCAGACCGTGGTGCCCTCCAGAAGAAGTCCTTGCTGGAATTTCATTAGCTGCACCCTCCACACACCCCCTGCTGCTCTCTTGATCTTTTGTTGTCATCAAAATATCAGTCCCGACTGTCTCACGCATATTCCAGACCATTGCTGCTGGCAGAACAAGCGCTGTTCCCCCCACTCAGTCAGAGCCACCCAATCTCCTCAGGAAAGGAGCAGCCCCCCCCAGGACCACAATCAGCCACGGTCCTCGTGCTGACAGGAAGGACAGGGCCCTTCAGGGAGCTGAGCAGCACCTGAGCGACTGCACTAGCCCAGAGCAAGGACAAGGCATATGGTGACAGCCAGGACACTGAATGTGGGGGACAACCAGTTCTGTTCCCATTGCCTTTCTCAGTTCCAGACCTCCCATCTCAGCTCCTGTAGAGCTGTTTGGCTTCAGCCTTGGAATGGGAGTGGAGCAAAAATCCCTGAAGACTCAGTACAGCTCTGAACACTCCAGACATGCAGGTGTTGCCATGCTAGGCCAACTTCCAGTCCTGATCCTGTGGCTGGAGGTGAGACTGGCTTGGCTCTCACCCTGCAGCAGCTGCCAGCATTCTCCCAGCCAGGCTCTGCTTGAGCCAAGGGATGCTCCTTCCCGCCTGTCCCGTTCTCCTGCCCTGCTGAGCCTCACATGGGCCATGCAGATCTGCTGGGCTCCTACCTGGTGAACTGGGAAGTGAGAGATGTAGGCTGCCGGATCTGGGGACCTTGAGGCTTTGGCGATTTCCATACAGCATGCCAAGGCTTGCCAGGGCTCATCAGTGTTCATCCACCACTTCCTGCCCTGGGAACAGGAAAGCACAGGCTGGTAGAAATCACAGCATAGGCAGAAACCCCAGTGCTCCCGGGATACGCTAGGCACAGCTTCTCCTCCCATCATGCCTCCAACTTCCCTCGTATTTCATCATGTTTTCAAACAGAAATGTGCTATTTAGGAATCTCTGCATTGTTTTGATTCCCTTTTTTCTCTCAAAAATGTATCTTTCAAAATGTTTATGTTTCAAAATTGATTTGATTGCCATTTTATTTTACATTCTAGAAGCTCCCACGTACCGTGATCGGGTGGTCAGCTGAGTCCAGGATCTCCTCCATGATTTCGTTGGCGTACTCCAGCCGCTCCTGCAAGGCGTTCTTCTTCTTCAGCCCCGTCAGGTTGATGAGGTGGATCTTCAGCCAGTCGAGGCCCCTGGGCCCCAGCGGCCTCCCCTCTGCAAACAGCAGGATGGCCCGGGTGACATCGTTCCCCAGGTGGTTGAAATACGGCGGGCACGGGTAAGTCCTGCCGCGGAAATCCATGTTGTGAGGGAACCAGAACACCTTGTCCCTGACGTAGTTGGCGATGGAGAGCTTGTAGAGCGCGTCCATGCGCAGGCTGTGCATCTCTGCAGCCTTCTTCTTGCACAGCAACAGCTCGCGCTTGAGGGACTTGCTCCAGGTCGAGGAATGGCCGGGAGCGGTGGGAGGCTTGGGGGCCTCAGAGAGGGGCGGTGGGATGTCCAGCTGCTCGTTGCCTTTGTCGTTGAAGATGGAGATGATGATATCCAGCACCGGCTGGTTGATCTTCCAAGCGCAGTTGCCCAGCTGGGTCAGGGCATCCAGCACGGGATGGAGGTTCACGGGCGGACACTGCTCCAGCAGCAGCTGATGCTGGATGTCCCCATCCACGAAGCGCATCAGCTTGGTGTCATTCACGACAAAGGCGCCGAAATGGGGGGAGGTCCAGGGCACTGGGGGACACAGCATAGGCATGGCAGAGGAATGGAAGGTCAGCGTGGTCTCTGCAGCATCCGTCACAATCTGGGAGAAGATGGGATGGGGCTTTATCAGCCCAACCTGGAGAGAATCAGAGAGGGGAAGGTCAGCAGCAGAGGATTAGGGCTGGAGTCTGGAAGAGCCTGTGGTCAGCCATCCTGTACGGATCACATGAAGTAAGGAGAACCAGGGGCTCCTCAAAGTGTCCCTGAGCAGGAATGGCAGCAGGGAGGGAAAAGGGCCTTGCAAGGGTCTGGTTTTCATGAAGGGGTGACCTGCACAGTTCCAGAGCCCCCAGGACAAGGCTCACCTGCCACATGTTCTGGTAGGAGTAGACGTGGTAGAGGACAGGAATAGACTTGGACTCCAGACGAGGATTGAGGAGGTTCCTGGGCACCGTGACGGCCTTCACCAGGAGCTCCAGCATGTGCATGCCCAGGCGCATGAGGACCGCGTACGGCCAGCTGCAGTCCTTCAAGGTCAGGGAGGAACCGAAGCCTGCTTCTGCCACCAGCTTCTCCCAGTATTCCCGTGGCAAGTACTGGTCAGGCTAGGAGGTGGAAGGAGAAAATGCAGGTCGGCTGGAGGGGCCAGACACTGCTCCCAGGGGGTTTGCTAAATGGGATCTATCTATCTGGGACATGGTTCTGAGAAGGTTCCTCCTGTCTCTGTGTCCTTGTGAGGTCCTCCCTGATGGGTATTTGGGGAAGGATGGCTGAGGAGGCTGGGGCAAGCCCAGCAGTGAGAATCAGGACAGCAGCACTGCAAAGCCCTTCCTCCCACCAGATCCCTGTGCTGACACTCCATCCCCACAACACCCTGCCCCTCCCTCCCAGACTGCAGACCTGCTTGCCCCCCCTGCAAGCCACGTACACTCAGCTCTGGAAATGACCTGCTCACCTGGCCCTGGAGGCCCCTTTCTCCCTTCCCATCCCCTCCTGCCACGCAAAGTGCACCCTGCTCAAGTCCAGAGCTCTCCTATACAGGACACCTGACTCCAAGGGCTCCCACCTGGCTGTCCTTTGCCAGCAGGTGGATGTAGTCCTCATAGACACCCTGCAGCTTCTCCAGCTGGTGGCTGCGCAGCTTCCTATGGGTGATGTACCTGCTGTAGACCTTGTTGCTCAGCTCCCTGGCCAGGACAGCCAGGGACTCTCCTTGTGGAGAGAGTGTGTTGAGGACCTGGAAAAAGGGAAGACGGAGACGGTCTTAGGAAGGAGGAACAGAGAGACAGAACAGAGAGACAGAGCAGGATTAGAAGCTGCTATGAGGGAGCACAGGAAGATTCTGATTCCCACAATGCTGAGCAAACGGCGAGGAAGAAAACACAACCAGGGCAGGGCAGAGGCTTCTCTGGCTGCTCCACACAGGGAACAGACAGCCTTCACCTAATAACCTGGGAAAACTCTCAGAAGTTTGAATTTTGCTGGACATTAGTGCTCTGTGACAGCCTCATGGCTGATAGTCTGGCCCTGCTCCCATGAGGCAGGGCAGGTTCCTACCTGCAGCATGATGCCCACGTACTCCTCATCCGGCAGCAGGCACAGGTAGGGGTAGAGCATGTTGTACTTTGACAGTGCCCTGGCCTTAGCCATGCTGTGCTTGGACTTCTGCAGGGCCTGGAGAACAGCATCGTGCCACTGGGAGCGGAGGGTGCCCAGCAGCTCACGCTGCATGGAAGAAGAAGTAAGAGAGCTGGTCAGCTGACCACCTCTTCAGCCCACGGACCCCCAGTCTCTCCCGCAGGTCCCAAGGGCTGCAGTGCCCCCCTGCCCCCAGACCTCTTGAGCTTTACCGCTTTGACAGCCTGCGGGGTTGGGGGCTTGGCTGCCTCCACTGACTCGATGGTTATGGTGTTGTTCAACTCCATCTCCAGCTGCTGCTGGAAACGCTCCTGCAACTCCTCCACAGAGAAATCCAGCTTGGGGTATGACACCACCTTTTCCTGAAACAAGTGCAAGGCACTATGTCATGCTCATCCTCCCAGCTTCCCTCCAAGAGGCCTGTAGAACAAGTCTAGACGTCTCTAGCTGGTAAACCCCACAGGCTGCTCTACTCTTGTGTCATGGTCAAGCATCTCCCCAAACAGCCCTTCTAGCACATAGAGGTCACCTCCAGGCCCCTGCCAGCCCTTGGCTTCACTCTTCCTCTGTAAGGCTGTTGGTAATATCATCCATTTGATGATTTGTGTGGGCTATTGAGCAAAGACCATGCTAAAAATGCTTCCCTTAGAGTCCTGAGCTGGACCTGAGGACACCTGTGAACATCACCTGGCCAGCTCCAACACCTCCCTGAGCTCTGTGGCTTACTTTGGAGTAGAAGTCCTGGAGCAGAGTAGACTTGCAGGTCTGGGGCTTGGGTGGAGGGGGCAGCTGGTAGTTGGGCAGGACAGTCCTGATGGCCCTCAGAATCTTCTCCTTCTCATCTTCCTCAAACAGGCACTTTTGGAAGAGCTCATCCACGTGGAAGCCATCGCTCTTCAGCTGCTCCAGGTATCTGAGGAGGGGCAGACAGGACAGGCTCGATCTTCCCCAGGGGCCTGAGTGTGCTGTGCAGGAGCTGCTGGGGCGGGATTTGCCTCAGCACAGCCAGTCCCACAAGGTCACCCCCCTCAGGTTACAGGGATCAGGTGTCCATCTCTCAGCCTGCACCACTGTGGAGCCCTGGCCTGGGCAGGGAGGCCGAGCTCCAGCTGCTGTGGGACCGCGCTGCCCACGGGCAGCCCCACGGTGTGTGCTGCACTGACACAACTCCCACACCAGGCAGGACGGGCACTGCCAGCCCCCTCAGAATCAGCTGACTGAAGATATTCACTTGGAGGCATCTAGAACTTGTCAGCCAGCCAAAGGACACAGAGGTCATCCCCAAGGTGTTTGTGCAGCACCAGTGGATCAGCAGCTTTCTCCATCCTCTGTCGAGGAGCTGGCTGTGCAGCCAGCCCCGGGCACTGCCCCTAGACCCAGTCTGTGGGATCTCACAGGGCTCCTTCAGCTCCCTGCTTTGGCCTGACACTGTCCTGCCCACTGTGCTCCGTGAGATCCACCTGAATCTCCTGACCACGCTCCTTCAGAGAGCCCTGTGGGAACTGGCTATCTGGCTGAGCCTGCCAAGAAGGGGAAACTGCATGGAAGTGCCATAAAAACAGAGGAGCAGAGCCATTCCCACCAGGACACGACAGAGAGGCCAGTGGAAGCGAGATGCCCAGGATGGGTGGGGAATCAAGGAGTCCCTGACTGGAGAGGGGCTCTCCCAGCCCAGCTCTGGGGAGAGAAGCAGCTGCTCTCATCTCCCACATCTCCTCTCCCTGCATGATCTCAGACAAACTCCCCAGCAGCTGAGAGTGGCAGGGAGGGTGCTGCAGGAGCTCTGCCCACCCCAAAACGTGGCCACGAGAAAATGGTCAGAGCATCCAGGTGTGCACGCAGCAGGGGCAGCTCTTCCCAGCCCCAGCCCCACGTGTCTCCCAGTTCTCCCAGCACAGGCTGTGGAGCTGCTGCCCCAGGGCTCAGCGGCACCTGAGGCAGGTGTTACCTCCAGATGGCCTCGGGGGACGACTGGTTCCGGCCCGTGCACTGCAGTGCTGCTGCGTAGGAGTCCAGGCTGGGCCGCAGGCCGACAGACTCCAGCACGGAAAAGAGCTCGTCGATGTGCTGCAGGCAGCCCTGGGGACGAAGGGAAAGGGGCTGCGGATACACCGACACCAGTAGCCCCAAAATCACAGCTTCACGCCCCTCTACTCCTATTTAGATTCGGTCACCTCTACCCGTCCCCTTCCCCATCCCCTTCTTCCCTTAAAGCCACCTCACAGGGATTCGTGGCCTCATGCCAGCTTTGTTCCTCTTGGCAGAAGCCAAGCGTTCCCTGAACATTTGCTGAAGGCAGGTGTGACAACTACAAGTAAAACCACGACCAGCTCGAGGCTCTTCCTCCTGAGCTAGCCCTTCTCCCACCCAGAGCACCCGTGGCTCAGTACCTTCCTGGCCCAGCAGCGCATCACGATGTTGTAGGCACTGACATCCAGCAGCTTCTGCTTCACTGGAGATCTGTGGCACAGCATGAGGATCCGCTCAGCCTGCTCCGGCTGCTGCAGGAACAGGAAGCACTCCAGGGTGGACTGGATGGTCTCCTTGTGCTGGCTGCTGTCCTTGTCCTTCAGTGCCCTCCGAGGCCTCTCCAGCTTCACACCTTCCTTCACTGCCACCACCCTGGGCTTGCTGTGGCTGTAGAGGCTGAGGGGGCTGGTGGAGCTCTGGCTCCAGGTAGTGGCTGCTTTCACCTTTGGAACTTTTGAAGTCTTCAGGCTTTTCATGGGTTTTGCTTTGGGTTTGCCTTTGGCCTTTATCTGGGCCTCTGCCTTGGCCTCTGCCTTGGCCTTTGCCTTTGACTCTGTCTTGGCCTCTGCCTTGGCTTTTGGCTTGGCCTTTGGCTTGGCCTCTGTCTTGGCCTTTGGTTTGGCCTCTGTCTTGGCCTTTGGCTTGGCCTCTGCCTTGGCCTTTATCTTGGCCTCTGCCTTGGCCTTTATCTTGGCCTTTGGCTTGGCCTCTGCCTTGGCCTGGCTTCCCAGATCCAGCTGGGAGGCAGCCATGGATAACTTCCGCTCCAACTTCAGCTGCTGGATGCACGTCTCCTTGTGCAACGTCTCGACCCAGCTGTGGGGCCGGTCTGGGCACCGCCCTGCCCTGGGAACTGGCTGCTCCTGTGTGGGGCCAGAGGCCATGGCCTTCTGCAGAGGGTTCTGGTGCTTGTCATTGCCCAGCGGGGCCAGCTCCACCTTGTTGACTGTCACCTCTGGGGCGTCACTGCTTTGGAGTTGCTTTGCTCGAGCTTTGAGCACTGGAGGGAGACAGAGAGAGGTGATGGGATGCAATGCACAGCAGAAGGTTCTGTCCTGCCCTAGGCCTCACTCTGGGAGTGCCAGGAACATGCTCAGAAAAGAGGATCCACACAAGGACTTTATCCCCCCTTGGCCAGCCCCACTCCCAGACACAGATTCCAACCACTGTCTCTCTGGGATCCACCTGCAGGTTGGGGCCTATCCCAGCATCTCAGGAACCCACCCCAGCATCCCGAGAACCAAGCTGTGGCTGGTCTGACTGCTACCTGCTCACTGCAGCTCTCCCAGCACTCACCTTCCAGCAGCTCCGTCCTCTCACAGGTGCTGTTCCTGTTCGCCTTCTCCTTGGTGCTGGCGGATGAGTAGCTCCTGAGGACGCTCCATGGAACCCCTGCTGCAGAAAAACACGAAGGTGCAGGGGGTCAGAGAGCCCCCTGCCCCCCAGCCCCGCCCCACGGTCAGGCCCCAGCTGGGCACAGAGGTGACAGTGAGCGAGTGGCTTTTCTCAGCTCAGCTGCCCCAGAAGCAGCGTGCGAGGGCCGCAAGGGGCAGGAGGGACAGGGACGCCCCTCACTCCCTAGATCCGGACGCTCGGAGGGAACGCGACCCCAGGGACACCACGAACCCCAGCGCTGCGAAGGGGGTGGCAGAGCCCCAGGACCCTCAGCGCGGGCAGCGCTACCCCACAGCTGGGACGGGACCCAGAACCCTCCCGTTCCTGTTCTCCGGAGAGGAACAACATCCAGCACCTCCACGGTCCCGCCTCTATCCCTGGGGGCCTCACGGCGCAAAAACA